ACGCTTTTTCAGGTGGGAGGGAAAATTTCAGGGAATATTCCACTAGAAGCACTGCAATGTCCGACTGATGTCAGTAGCTAATCGAACACGAATTCTTCGTGTGCTGACCCAGACATCCCGAGCTTCAGCAAACAGGCAGCGATGAATTTCCCTTCGGGTGTTTGCGACGGACCTCTTGTCCTCATGACCTTTATATACACACCTATTTTAGCCTCGTGACCAAGATATGCAAAGAACAATATTTATCAACCGGAAGCACATCGGTAAATGAAGATGAGAGGAGACGAAAATCGAAGAAGAATATTATCAGAAAATCCTGAATGGAATGGACCAATTTGGGAGATATTATAAAGATTTTAACGCAACGGAGTGGAGTTGATTTATCTGGCATAGAACAGGGATGCTAGTGGAGGGGAGGGGGGGGTGTTCTTCTGAGCACTGGAACCCTTCAAAGTCATAACATTCAGCAACGATTCATTTCATAATTGTGCATTTAGTACGATTCTTAGTGAAAACAACGATTATTCCTTTAAACGGCATTGACCAATCCCACAAGCTCTTCGAGTATTGTAGTAAGCACGTGTCTTCTTTTGCAATTTGGAGGAAGTTAGGTATGTTGAGGGTTGGCATCGAGATGATAATTCGGGAGATTTGGAAAGATTATCTTAAGTCTGCTGAGTTCATGTCTTTGTAAGGTATGTTATTGTCTTGATATTCGTACCTGCTCCATTGCGTGAACATTTTATGTAATAAAGATCCTTTTCTTTATAGTGTGTAGCCCCCATTCAATTCCCACTGTGGAGGTCTTCTCCATTTCTTCATATCTTTGGATTAACCACATACAACTTTTAGAATTCATACGCCTTCTGCAATGTCTTCCGAACCTCGTGGTTGAACAGTTGGTATTTCTGGTACGTATTCAGAAGGTCCTTGATTCAGATATCAGTTCAAAGACCAGATATCCTGACAAAAGAATATTATGGTGCTACACATCCTGTCTAGGAAAGCACCCCATTCCTAATCCTTATTTTCTCACCTTCCAATCTGCTCTTCAGTTAAAACTTTATTATACATAACCAACGAATCAAGCAGTCATAAATATATATGAACATGACCTTGTACGTACACAATGAGCTCTCTTCAAACTACCACTACTCTCGTAGCTTACTGACATTTTAGTTCTAGTGTTAAAACGTCTCTTCAGGTACTCATGATGTCTCACTGACTACCAAATGTAAGCGTCTTCTAAACAAGTACTCAAACTGCTCCTGTAATGTCATGGTGAATATTACAAACAACGCTAGTAAGGGTACTCCAAAGAAATACAAGGTAGACAAACATTCCGAAAGAGTTCTTTGCTATTATGCATATGTCATCGGCCTTGATGTTTGATTTTTCTAGATATATATGTATTTTGACAAGCTACAGATCTAACAATGCAAATGGAATTCGTTACTAATCTTGTCGAGATGCGTTTAAAATGAACCTTATAATTATATACAGGATGCACCATTTAAAATGCAACCCAATAATATTGTACGACGGTACAAAACTGAAATAATTAGCAGGTCTACTCCTATGTATGGACTCTCCCGATCTCCCCCGTGATACTGAAATCAATGTTACCCTAGCTACTGTGGGACTTTCTCATAAAAAGAGTTTATTCGAAAAACTCACAAAGCTTTCAGAAACTAAACCAAATACTTAAGACTGTCGCCAACACCGGCCCAGAAACACTTAGAAAATTTGCATAAAACAAGCCAGATATGGTGGGTTCTGGCGGACATTTTAAGTATCTGCTATAAACCTATTCTGTAAGTCGTCCTCAAATTCCTTAAAATATGAGATAAATTCTTTAAGCCTTTAGGAAATCGATTAATTTTCAGTTGCGCTTTGTTCAACTAATAGGCCTATATTCACATTTGTTCGGCTGTTATCCTGCAGATGGAGGCAGCAGTTTATTTAGAATTCGTAATATGTCACATAGCGTTTATAATATTTTTTTAAAAAAATTTTCGTTGCTAAAAGAAAAACAAATTACTTAGTAACATTGACTAATTCAACTTTGAACATCCATTTTATGATAACATCGAAGAATTTATATTCGTCTGCTATCTTTTGAGATTAGAATCTGAGTAGCTGTATGTACTCATCAATTATAATGTGACCGGTGGAGCTTATGGAGTCTGCTTTACTTAAAATGCTTCAAACATTCAGCGCTTTGCCTGATGACCTCTATGACTGGGGTACGCGGGTCGTTTTAATTATGATCTGGTCAAAGAAAGAGACATCACAAGAGCAGAAGAAAAGAGAAAATTAACAGGGGAGAAGTGGTTATACAATGTATTTTTGTGTTGAGGGAGGAGAGAAGAGCTTCTTAATGTTACAAATTCCTAGCCATTGCTCGGTAATCCTTTCGTTTGTGGCACAAATTGTTATTTAATGTGTAAACAGTTTTGTTTTTATGAATGATTTTATATATCAATACACTGCATGGTAAACAACGTTTTAAGATTGTTTTATAGTTTGTTAAAATATACTTAAATAGAGGCTGTATGTTAACTTTACATCTGTTACCACACAAATATCCAATACCCTGACTGAATAACGCTGTAAATATTTCCTCATGATGCTAGTAATTCCATAATTCTGGTAAGATCCAACAGAGATTATCCGCCCTAAAATATTTGTGGCTAGTGATCTTTCATATTTACAAAATTAAAACTTTAATACGTCTTGTAGTTTTAATAATCTTCACTGCAGATATTTCTAAGCGAGAAAGTCAGTTGAACTCGTTAATATTGTGTAATTCATAAGAATAATTTACAAAAACTGTAGTTTTATGACATTACAAATGTAACTATAATCTGGGGCGTGTATTATATTGAGTCTCTTATAAGACAGAGAAAGAACAGAGAACACACAAAATTAAATTAGAAGAAAATGGAAGGAAACTGAGTATTACATTTTATCTTTGAAAATAACAACCTGAAAGAAGAGAGAGACTGAGGAAAGAAAAGAGAATGAGAAATTAAAGAATAAAATAATGCCAGAGGAGAGGAATATATGGAGAACAGAGACGAAGAAAGAAAGCTAAAAACAAAAGTAGAAAGAAATTATGTATAAAATGTATAATTACAAAAAACAAAATCCAACTGAAAATACTGTTAATTTAATATGACAGTCTTCTGGGTTGCAGCATCGTATATTCTGGTAGACGTTTTCCGACGTTTCAGAGGTCGTTACTGCGTCAATCAGGGCGATTACTGTCCTGAGGTTGGAGGCAGCAAGGACCTTTCAAACTCTGGTAAACTTCAATCAGACTACACGGCGCTACAACCCAGAAGACAGCCAACTTCGTATTGACCTCTATGAGAACATCGAATCCTACTGTCCTAATCAGCATTTCAGTACATAATCAGAAAGTGCACGTTGATAAGATAAGAGCAGGTTATGCATTTGTTGCATTGATAACATCACCCAAAGGGATCGCAAGCCAATCACTTGTTTATAAACACACCAGTCAGTCCATTGTACATCTTATACCTGCAAGTTCATGCTTTCATTCATGAAAAGGTATTGTCCATTAGCACAAAGCTGCCGGATGCTACGTACTCACAGAGCCTAAACTCAGCACAATAACTTCGATACTGTTCCACTTTCAATCGCTGTTTGCATTATCTACATGAAGTATTGTTCATCTCGAGAAGCTGATAGTAGCTCGATTGGTCAAGAAATTGTCCATATTTTTCTGACCCACGTTCACAAGATCACGTCATTGAACCAAGAAAATCCAGTCCACACATTATCCTGCTTTGTTAGTATGCATTTTAATGTCAGCACCCCATCTACCCTCATTTCTACCAAGTGGATGTTTCCTTCATGATTTTCAGTTCAATATTCTGTGTGCGTGTCTCACCCCCCACTACCCTCGACCCGGTTAAATCACTCAACTTGATTTGACGACATTGAAATTTGAAGAACAAGCATCCTGAAGCTCCTCACTGTTACAATAGCTGCAGAGAATCTTTTCAACACACAGCAAGGCCCCTACCACCACAAGTCAACACAATAAAATGCGAGTCTTCACTTAGCGACTGAATGTAATGAATTAATTATGTTCCCAGTCAGTTAATTAATGCGTAAGTGATTTAATTAGCAACATAATCAATTAGTAAGTTGATGCATTATTAGGCCGCCTGCTTATTCAGTCAGTTTGTTAGGAAATTAAAGATCTATTACCGTAGCCAGTCACCTAGAAAGTGAATTTATAGGTTAACTAACAACACAGTCGGTTACTTAATGACTTCGATAACAGGATGTCTCTGATTATTGTACGAAATAGGCGAATTACTAAATACCGAGGACTCTGTAACTTGTTGCAAAGAATGTACATCATTTAATCACGAACCCAGCTTCTCGTGTGATGTGGGAAGTAGGTTAGTTGCCGCAAACCCCATAACACACAGAAGGCAGGAGGCCCTCCGGCCACGGTTTCAGTCAACACCGTCTAATCTGACCCCGACATTGTCATATGCTCTTGACCTCAGAATAGAGAACTGAGGAGCCCCTTTCTTACTCCCACGTATTTAACACGCATGGAGCCATAAATGGAATGAACCATCAGGTGCCTACTTTATCGGCAATAGGATCTCATTCAAAGTCGGCCCGAAACGTGTTCCCCCCTACCACCAGGTACAACCTACTCACATACGATATGTACACAAATTATCTTCACTTCTTTTTATGTTCTTTCATACTTCTCGGCCCCTCTCTCTCCTTCCCTTCTGCCTTATATCACCAGTTGCATTAACCAATAGCTCACGACTAAAAGTCAAAGCTGCCAAATGAGAAAGCATTCGAAAGCGAAGATGAAAACGCGGGGGTAAGAGAAGAAGGTGAAATGGGATGAGGACACGGAGGAGGAGGAGGAGGAAGGTGTATGAGGCTACGCTCTTTTACCTACTGACCGTCTTTTATTCCAGAAGACCTGGAAAACGGACGATAAAACCCGAGAGCTGAAGCTCTCATAATCGCAGTCTTTCACCAGACGGTGTTCCAATATTTACCACAACATCCGCTCTGCTTCGAGCCAGCCAGACGCAGATATCAACACACAGTCCACCAGTCTCAGTGGCTGGCTGGCATCTTCTACCAAAACCATGGCAACTTACAGAAGAAGACCTGTATTCGGTTTCGTCGTTCTCCTGGCTATAGGAGGTCTGACACAAGGACTTGCTATCAGCGGAGGTGAACACGAACAGAAGATACAGGAAGTAAGCACACAGAAGGATTTAGAAGATAGTGGCTCCTTAAGGATGGCTAAATTCCTGAATTTCAAGTCACTGGTATCTGGACAGTCCAACGAAGTAGACACAGATACACCTACTGTGAAAGAAAACGATTCAGACAGTCCTGTGACGGCCTTATCTGGAATGTACTCCGATTGTATAACTGAGTTTTCGTTTACTTGTGTCCAGAGGAAAGTTCTGGTCTTCTTTGATCGCCTTGGAAGAATGGAGAATTTTAACTTATTGGGGGATTTCATGTCTGTAGTTAGAACAAGGCCAGATACGACACCAAGAATAACAGAAGACGGTCTGAAGGCTCGACTTTATACGGGTGGTAATATCGAGTCGGATATGGACTCCCTCATGGACCTGGTAGCCGACAGGTTCTTCAGCAGCCACATCTTACGGGTGAGGTTACCTGCTTGGACAGAAGCATCGGTGCCTGGTGGAGCCGGAGAGGCGCGAACGGGGACCACAGTGGATATCAGCTTCGAGAATTCCATGGACGAAGAAGGTAATAAACAAATGACAGCTGCAGATCTAATAAAATATTCTTTCTTTGCTCTCCGCAAGTTTTAGGCTTATTTTGGATGATCTCCCTATAAAAAAATATCTCCTTTATCGTGTAAATTAAGTAAAAATTCTAGCAGTTGTCATTATCCATAGTGTTCTGATGGGTTAGATATTTTTCTCTGTAATACATTTTTTTATTTACTGAATACACATTTTTCATTCCTTAACCTCTGTTTACTCTCGTCTTTGTAGTGTACGTCACATCCTAGATCTTACACATTAAATTTCAACTGATTTTATTTTACTAACATTAATATTCTTATTCACTAATTTTTTATTTCCGTGCAAACTTGTGAGAACTTTTCGCTTAGCTTTCCGGTGTATCTGACATTCACAATACAATGAGTTTCATTACTTGTATTCTTTAACTTACACTGTTAAAATGATTACGTCAAGGTGGATGGGATAGGTGGAACACGTAGCATGCACAGAGTAAGAACTGTAGACCTACGTAATATTTTTTTTTTGAGAAAAATTAACGGAAACGATCAAGTATAGATGGAAAACAACATTAGAATATATCGTAGCGAAATACACAGTGAACTGTATCAGGCCAGAACTAAATGATGATCTTTTGTGAACACGATAATGGTACCCCTGGTTTCATAATGGCGGGAAATATCTTGACCACGAAACAGTAAATATATATATATATATAGTTTCAATTATAATTCGCATTTGGAAAGATTTCGGTTCGTAAATGGAATTAAGATGGAGTACACACATCGAGGATATTTGTGGTTTTACTCAGTAGATCAAGACTGGAACTTTAAAACAGAGTATGGCTAACTTTTCAGTGTTGTTCCTATTTTATAATTCATGAAAATTTATCATTCGTTATTATATAAAACACTTGATTAAACATCCTGAAGAATCAATCAATTACAGGATAGCTTGAAAATCTCAGTGATTAATAAAACGTTACTAAAAGCACTTAAATAAATAATTACACGAACCAGTATCATTCTTGATATGCTAACAGATACACAGCGTAGCCAATAATATACGACTTCTATGGATCCTAAATGTCCATTACCGTGTTCACAAAAACCCTCAACACAAGCCTGCCCAGAACTAGTTAAGTCAACTCCATAACCTCACATTCTGTTTCCTCAATTTTAATATTAAACACGTAGATTTCTCAAGTTGTCTGTTCCTTTCAAAACTCCCACCTAAAATAATGTCATCCACATATCGCCATTATGTTCTGCATAGTCCGTTCATCTCTTCATCCTTGACTTTTTCGCTATAATAATGTTTGGTGCAGAGCCAAAATAATAACGCTTCTCATTCTGTTATTATAAATAATTATTCTGAAATTTTTGTATAAATCCAATATTGCTGAAGAAATTTATCTTTTTATAAACGTTAGATACTAGACAATTTAGAAGTTCAGATGACAAGTAATTGTGATATTTTCCAGGATTTTTATAATATTGCGACAAACATTTAAATTCCAGAGTAGGGTCTATCTGAACAATCTTACAGTTCGATATACACAATTGAAATTATTGACCTCAAGAGGCTGTTGTCTGTTGAACTCATGCCAAAACATTTAATATCCGGTTATTTTCTTCATTCAACATTTCTTTCTTTGTCCATCTCTTTCGTTGGTTTCTCTCCCTTTCTCTTTTTGTATGTTTGAAAAATTCGCAAGACAGTCGTGTTAGTATCCTAACCGGTTACTGTTTACGGCTAAATATTTAACATCCGACTGAAACACTTTGAATGGCGTAAAGTACACGTTCGTGTTGAAACCTACACAGAGAACTGTGTTACCTGACTGCTAAAAGCCTTTTTATACATATGTAATTATGATTGCAGATTCTATTAAACAATGTGAACCAATGAAATTTACATATTATATAAGCGCAAAATCTAAAGAAAAGAAATACATTGCCAATCCCAATCGTAGACTATAGGGTATTATTAAAATAAAGTAATGGGATTAAACTGGCTCAGTATTGTGCCCAGCGTCTGGCTTCTACAACAATCTTCAAGGATACAAACGCGTGGAATTTTAATTTAATCGCCCAAAGCTACAGCATGGAATTTCTTGGTTAAAGGCAGAACCCAGTAGGTGATCGCCCTTCGCATTATGATCAACCAATCGCACACTGAGATCAAGTCTTTATTCCTTGTTTCTTTAACAATCTTGTTCAACCTCCACAAGAATTTGATGCTTGGCGATTCGTTTCGAGGTGTGGAAATAAAATATGAAGATGACTGTACTTCTGGGTTGTTGCGTCATGCACTCTGATAGAAACTGGCCGACTTTTAAGAGGTGCTTACTGCCTCCATCGTCAGAGCGCATACAATAAGTACCTCTGAAACGTCGGCAAATTTCTACCAGACTACAAGGCGCAACAACCCAGAAGTACAGTCATCGTCACACTCGTCGACTTAAGAACTTTAAATCTCACGAAGAAAGTATTTTTACATCTACTTATAGGTATCCCCAAAAAAATTCTTCTACTGGTAGCGAACGTTAATAACGTTTTAGGGACCCCATCATCTTGAATTCTCTGCATATCACTAAATTTACTAATAATTTTTAAGACATTAACTATTATTTTCATTTTGCTTTTTATTATTTTGATTTTGTGTTGAATTTCTTAAATTTCTAATCTCTACCGGTCTATAAAACACCACGTACAGTTCTATTTCAGTACTGAAATGTTTCTTTCTGTTCTACAAACTTATTTCCAGTGCGCAGGATTTGAGGTTTTCTCTCACACTCTTAGGTCACCTTTTAAACACTTTTACATCCCCTCCTGACAAGTAACTGATTATCCGAAATTAAAGTAACTGCTTGAGTATGAGGACATCTGTACTGTTACTAGGTAATGTCAGAAGCACAAATGAAGTTCTTCATTGAGATTAATTAGTTCAATTCTGTTGAAGGAGTAACATAATGGGTGACGATTTACGTAAATATTTTGTGTATTGTCAGGTTCTAAATTAAACAGAAATTATATAATTTATATAACCGAGGGAAATATAAATTACTCCGGTCTTCCCTTTAATGACAAGTTTAAAATAATTGCAATAAAGCAGCTGGAAGCAAGTAACTATTTGTATGGTAATGGAGCTTCCTTCAAAACAAGATAATAGTCATTCTGATTCTAAAGAACCAGAAATGCCTTCAACCCATTTACAGCTCACCACTTAAATTTATCATAATAACTTTAATCCACTTACTATTCTTTCTCGCTATTTCACTCTATTTATCGAAGGTCCATTTCAATATTACAATCCTATTTAGGCCCAAATGAACAAAGAAGCGTATTAAATGTTCTTAAGCTTTTCCTAACAAAATTTTATATTCATTTATCACTAAAATAGTTTTAGAGATCCTGCGTAACAATTCATAACACAAAGATGCTACCTTCTGAGATGTTGAATCTTGTAGTCTGGTAGAAGTTTACCGCCATTTCAGACGTGATTAGTGCCTCCATCACCAACTCGTAACATAACTTAGAAGTTATCTTTACGATAAGGTTTATTAGTACAACCACAACTATTAACCTTGAGTATCACCCCTTCTCGGCTGTCCGCGACTGCTTATCCCGTTCATTCATATGTGAAAGCTGACTCCTGCATCAGAATACTGAACAAGAGTCATGCTATGTGAACATGGGTTTCACCCAACGTGGTTCTAAAGTACAGAGCCAAATGACAAATCACATATGAAGTTCAAACATTGATTAAGTCAGATCGAAATTTATAACAGAGACATTTTGACACCTTAAAACTCACTAAAATCTTCTCGGGTAAAATGTTAACTATCTGACGCGGGTGTAGCCACGAGATGATTTTATTGATTATAGTCGCCGGAAAAACTTCAAAATCATATATCATGAATTTCAGTTTTCGTATTGACAAGCTTCGAAGTTACACGTAGTTTTGTTAACACGGAGAATTTCTCAAGTTTGTTCCTTCAAACTCTTTTTGTCAAATCACATCAAACCTCCCTGATGAAATCACGATGGCCACGTTACTAGCACGAGAATAATGAAATAAATACATTTTTTTTTTATAAATCGTGTTGACTTAAATCTCACTTCGCATGAAGCTGTTATCAGCATTTCTGAACAACCGGGCACATCTATAAACCTACACAGCAGACAAATGTTTCATTGGCTGGACTATGACAAGTTTTTAAAATAACTATTTGCCCTAACTTAAATTGTATAAGATTCTTTACCTGAGGACAGATGAGTAATATTATTAAAGTTTAGAGTACCCACATGCTTTCTTTGCCTTCTAAAATTATTTAATGTAAATTTCAGTCATTGTAAACGGTGACTATGAATTATTTACGTGCTATCCGTATAATGGGTACTACTGTCAGACTTCTCAACAAACATGATTTTTAAGAACTAAGTTGACGGGCGTTTAACTTTGCTCTAAAGACGAGGGCGCTGTGTGTTTCAGGTCGTTCTGGAAGGAAGAAGAAGAAGAAGAGAGGTAAAGGGATGAAGAAGATGATGGGTATGATAGGGGCACTGATGATTGGCAAGTTGCTGGTGATAGGCAAAGCCCTGCTGATACTCATCAAGATCAAAGCACTCAAGGCCCTGTTGCTTGGCTCCTTGGCACTGCTCCTGTCAAAGATCCAACTCATCAAGAAGCTTATGGCGAAGAAGGGAGGCGGTGATCATGGAGGACAAGAGAAACACATCATCGTGGTGTCTGGCGGCGATCACGGGGGCGGTCACGGCGGTGGTGGTGGTGGCCACGACAGTTATGGACCACCAAGTGGTGGGGGCGGAGGAGGCGGATGGGAAGATCGGTGAGAAGTACCACAAACCCAGAAGACCCCCATCAACTTGCTTACAGAGGTTATAGAGCTCCGTGACGCACGACTTTAGATGACTATCGACTTTTCAGCTATAAATTATGGACAGACATTTTTCATAAATTTCAAATACTTTATTAAAATTGCATAACTTTGGTAATTTGAATTACCAGGAAACCATAAAGTCCATTTTTTTGTGTTTAATTCAAGTCTTCGAAAAATGACTGATACACTTTAAAGTATCGACTCCTCCAGAAACATTCACGTAAATTTACACACTCTAAAGTAAAGAACATTTAGAGTATGGACGTAATTATACGTAAATAAATATTGTTTCGACGTGAACTGACGTATATTTACCGACGTAAACATATTGTCATACGCACTAAGTTAACATATTTGTAAGCAGAATTACATTTATTTTTGCTTTTGAAATGTGTTCATGGCGAAATATCCATGATTCTATCATTTCAAATAGGCAAACCAGAAAAGATATTCCAGTCAATAAGACACGATTTTAATTACACATTAGACACGCAAGGAAACATTTATAATTCCCTATAAGTTAAGCAAAATATTCTAAATTAAAGTATTATCAAATGTTGATTTTAAAGAAGGTTATTCGGTTTTGAACCCATTTTTCTTACACCCAGTAATATAAATAAGACGTATTTTTCATTCACTGCCAAATGTTACAAAATAATTTTCTATAAAATGTAAACAGAGTATACATTCTTTAACTAAACCACAATGAACACATGTAACATGCCTAGTTTGACCACGAAGTTACATTTTAATTTAAAGACTTTACAAGACACTTGACTTATGAAAACCTCGTTCATATACAATTTCTTTATGAAAAACAACAAAATTCTGAAATACTTATTCATAGACGAAAACTTAGGCGTGTTGACACACATACAGACTTGACTTTGAATTATAAAATATATATTCGCATAACTAATCAGAAAATTAGCATACAAGTTTACTGACTTTCATGTCAATGAGACAGTGAAGTACTCACTGAAATTTTAGGCTTTAAAGGGTTTTTATTCTGGTGCCATAACCACCTACTCAAGGTCACAAAGACTCCTTTGACCAGGTATATTAAGACTGACTATTTTACAACTTTACTTCTCATCAATTCTAGTTTGCTTCAAAGGAACTGCAGATGATATTACAGCCTACAAACGAAATAGTGAAAAAACTAAAATGGATGGTTTATATAAAATTTTAACTTATATTTGTTATTTTATTGAATATTTTTACGAGCATCTTTAAAATATTATATTGTCACTATGTTATTTACTTTGTCTAATTAATGTATTTATTTAAGTTATGAAATAAATAATATAAATACGTGATATGTGGTTATTAAATTTCCTTACCATTTCTAAAAACATAATATTCTTTTACGAGAATTCCATTAAATAATCGTTGTTATTAAAACATAATACTTTTTCATTGAATCGGAAGTATTATAAAACTGAGGGCAGCACAAATCAGCAATACTCAGTGTCACGAAAGAAATCGATTACACTGCGCATGTGCAAATTTATTCTTAAATATATATTTTGTGGCTTACTTTTACAGTTTTATGTAGATTTTTTGGAAGAATATAAACGAGATGTTTTCAGATAGTTAAAGCACAGTATTAATTTGTATTATCTGCTTCAACATTCATCAACTACACATTCCAGCAAACGATTCCCACAACAAACCGCAATGTTTTCCCTAAAAAATATTAATCAAAATATATTTTAGTGATGACACGTTGTTTATTATTTAAGTTCGAGACTGGATATTTAAATATTATTTAGATAAACTTGATGCTGACAAAGTTTAAAAGGCATAATTCATAATTAAAATATTGCTGTAAAAAATTATTCGCTAAAGACATTACAATATGCACATTCTTTATATTTGCCACCAATTATAGCAAATATGTTTCAAATTTTCCAGTTACTCTACTTACAGAAACAAATCAAAATATTTTGTGTTTAAACTTACCAATAATAATAATAGTAACAATACATGTATTTACCACTATGATGACAAAAAAATCAGAACTTTCTCATAGTTTAGATTTGCGAATAACTATGATAACAACAGACGTAAAAAAGTATAAAGTATTCAACATATTTTCAGAATAACAGTCATTGCAAAGTTAATAAAGAAATTGATATTATGTAGCATTCTACTTTCGCTAAATATATACCATACATGAACTGATTTAGTGACCTGTGATACTACAACGAATGAAGAAACAATATAAAGGACAAGAACATCATAAGAAAAATGAAGACTAAAAATCATTAAAATTCAATAAAAAATCAGTAATTCAGTGAAAAGTTTTAATATATAACACCTGATGATGGCTATATATAGCCGAAACATGTCGTGTATGTTCCACATGTAAATCGAGTACTCGATAGGGAACGTAAAATGTTATTTTAATCTTTTAATAATATTATATTGTGATTGACTGCTAATTTTAATATATTTTTAATACTATATAAATCACAATATGACGCATCTACAATATCTTATAATATGTCAAGAATGAACGGTCATGTGTTTCAATAAATTATTTCCCACCTGCAAATATTCGTAATATCTGCATATTAATTTGTGAGGTTAGTGTTTGGCAAGACTGCTATGAAAATTTTCACTGATATCTTAGGCATAATTATTTCTTGTGCAAAAATTACTTTATTAATGTAATATTTAACATGCAAAATCATCTACAGCCACTATCTCTCCAGACGATCTTCTAATTAGTAGGGCAGTGCTTGATCTTAAATCTTAATCATTTCATTTTGACTCTCACTCACATTCTTTTATTAGAGCAAGGAAGTACTTTCTCTTGAATTATATTTACAAAATGTGATTGCTATTATTCCCGTTCATTTGAATAGGCCGTTCTCATGTACTTGTTATTTTTGTAATCTAATGGAAGGTATAATTTTTGGATGTGTAAAATATAGTCAGTATTTAACACAATATATAAATTTGTTTACAAATTTTAAAGAATTTCCTAACTGAACTTTATCCATAAGTTTTTATATGCTTCCTATTAAGTACTTTTATAAATATAACACGTTATACATACTATTATAATTCTACTGTAAACACATATTTCTTCTTTATTTAAGAAGTTTTGTCTATTTCACGTTTTCTTATTATTATTCCATTTTTCTCCTACATTGAGCATAGTGGCATCCCTTCTGAGGCTTCTGATATATTTTTAAACATTTGGTAGAGACTTCCTTGGATGAGTGATCAGCCCATCGCAAGGCCTCTAAAAGCGACATGGGTGAGTAATGGTCGCGCTGAATTTTGTTTACGAAACATCTCTTTCATGCTCGTAAGGTTCTTTTACATGCCGTAAATCTACGACATGCGACCGTCAGCTTTACTTCCCCTCCGAAGGATTTTTATCACCCTTTAAAATCCATCGACCTTTGCCATAAACCTTGGGTCCTGTGACAAGCACGCTACGTCTAGACCACAGACGGCGACAGTTCACTCTTTATGCAAATAATTATTGGACCTAATTTTTTTATCTCCGTCAAAATATTTAAGAAACTACACTGATGTGATCAGTTTAATAATTCACTTGACATAACATTCGTTACGAACGTATTGTGTAAAACAATTAAAAACAGACTCTCCGCTGTATTTACAACAGAGACACATTGTGTAAAGTATCTTACTAATTTCACCTGGATGACGTCAAACATCGTTTGTTAAAATCCCTCTAAACTTTACTCGTTCGATTATAGTGGAAACTAAACATTTTAAGACATACGACCGCACACCCTTATTTAAATGTCATAACAATTTATTATAATGATTGAAATGGGCCCTTCCCTTAGTGTTTTATAAAGGGATTATATTGGCACACTAAGGACAAAGATTAAATTCTACTGAAATTTTTCAGTGAACACTAATATTAAAACATTTAATTACGATCTGCTGAGTGAGGCTGCTTTAAGAGATAAGTAATGTGAATGGACAGGCAAGGTCTCACCACAAGCTTCTAATTTTATACACTTCGTGTTAAGAACGCATTATAAGGTAGTATATTTGCGTCATATTGTGAGTTAGGTTAATATTTTAATATTTTCCGTCAAATCACAATTTTAATAAGATAATAAAATATAAAATATTTAAAATATAATTTCACGTTCCGCATCGAATGATCGATTTACAAATTGGAACGTCTCTTACGACATGTTTCGGTTATATTTAACCGTCGATCATTCGATGCGGAACGTGAAATTATATTTTAAATATTTTATTATCTTATTAAAATTGTGATTTAACGCATAATAAATAAACTTTTTTATTGTTGATCAGAGCATACGACACGGCCAGTCGTAGTAATAAAACCTGTACGGACGTATTAAAAATACACACAATTAAACCAGTTCAATTGTAGTCAGAAACATTAAATAAATTGAGGTCATGAAGAGATTGGGGTTAAGATGACCTCGTTATCATAATTTGGAGTAATTTCTTATGCAGTCAGCATGACGCGTGAATATAAAAAATAGTGTGACGTATGATAATAATCTGAATTACGAGGTAAAATATGCCGATGCACAAATGCTTGAAAAACTAGGTCCTTTGTGAACAGTTATAAGCATAAATATAAGGAAGGATATACTACAAAATGCTTCTGGCAATAAACGCATCACGACTCTTCGAATGATTCGACCTCAAGCCTCACACAATTACGTCCCTTGCTACGTCATAACGTTTGTAAGTAATTGGTTTTGCCGGAAAGAAATCCGAATTCTTTCGATAATCGGAAATGAATTGCTGTTCGTGACATTAAAGTCTTTCAAATGTCACGAATGGGTTCACTCATAATTAGGATATAAACACGATTCATAAATAACCTTAATCATTTCCATGAAGCACAAAACCATCATAACTGAGAAGCTAATAGTCGCTTAGATACCCAAGAAATTCCACCGTCTTTTACGGAACTCGAAGTGTCCTTACTGCGTATAAAGAACAGTCTGCCACTGATACCCAGACTAGTCTCGTCCACGTCCTCACAAACCATTTTAAGACCAATCGAAAAATCATTCTCTTTTCTAGGTCAAGATATCACAAAGAGAAACTTTGTTTGTTTTTCTAACTAAAATCTGTACTATTTCTACAAGGCCTTCATCTGATACTCTCTGATTTGATCACATAAATAATATTTGGCCACCATCATCATCATGAGGATCATGGTTTGGACCTTAGGATGCGTCCCACTCTTCTGACGAATGAGTTGGTATTTTCATCGAAATGCTCCAGCAATGAATTCTGATTCCAATACTTCAGTCGACAGACTTAAATTTTAAATTCCTCATTATGTAGAAAGGATTTCGTTCTTAAGCCATATATATAAAGCAGGGGTGGCCAACCCAAATGATCTTTCGGGCCACTTTGGAAATGCATCATAACTCCGCGGGCCACATATAAAATTATATATCCCCATATTAGATTTAGATACACTATAGACATTTTTTTGGAGTGAAAAATTGAAACATAATGAGTTATTATTATTGTGTTTACTATTATTCTTACATGTAAACATAGATAATATAATAATAATATATATAAATATATTTTGTAAAAGTGTGATGAATCTCGCGGGCCGGAAAAATGTTCAAGGCGTTATTTGGCGTCTTATTACATCATAGCAACATTTTACACTGTGTATTTGTGAAGAGGGAACTATCATGGCCTATTCTTAGTGTGTTATCTAAATATTTGCCTGGAGAAACTGAGAAAAACATTAAACTCTAGATATGACAGTCATCCTGACAACTCCAGACAACTCTTAAATACAAGACAAGTGCATTGTATCTTCATAGAAACTGCTTCGCAGGAAAAATATAAATGTAAAATTATTCTTTTTTCTAAGCACGATTCTGTAAAGACTGATAGACGATGTGGAGCTTAAAGTACGTTAATTATACACATCGGAACAAGATGGAGGTGAGTGATTAGTTTCTCAGAGAAAGAGACTTCGACTCCTATCGGTTAAGAGACTGAGTGTTTCTCATCATACAAAATTGCATCCAAATGTTTTCGGTAATTTGTGATAAAACGACGGCCCCGATAGAAATAAGAGAGCTGTAGTAAATTTCGCCGAACAGGAAACGACTACTTAATCCGAAATTTTAGTCACTTATTCTAATACAAAATTCCACGGTGGTCTAGCGGTTAGAACGCTGGCCTTGTAATCCTGGGGTCTCGGGTTCGATTCCCGGCGGTGCCCGAATTTATAACTTGTGTTGGGCAAGGCCGTGGTCTAGACAACACGGAGTTTTCCTCCGTGGCATACCAACAATTACTCCATTCACACACAGAAGAAGGCAAGGGCAAACCACTTCTGGATCATCTGCCAAGAACGTATATGAACAGGTCCCAGTCAGAGAAAAGGATGGAAGGATCCTGTTATTAATATGTCGCCAACCTCCTGTAAAGGAGACGACGTAATAAAGAAGAAGAAGTATGTTAAACACGCATTGATAGTCCCTTAACACACAGCATAACACAAATTCAAATTTTCCCCACTTTGTGTTGGCTACTTATTGGCTTCGTATGGTTCTGCCTAGTTTATCTTTTCTTACTGTTTGCTTTTTATTTACAGTCATCTTCGTTTTGTGTTGTTGTCTCCTTATTCAAATTATTTGTTTAAGCTACTTTAAAGGTGGCTGGCACGTTCAACTTTACAATCTTATACAAGTAGGATACGAAAATAAGCCAATTAGCTTATTTTTGAGTAGGAAATGGACTTTATACAGACGTTCTTACATATTGTTCTAGAAGAACCGAGAAGTGGTTCATTCTGTTTCGTGATCTTAGATCGTGACTTTAGTGACATTATAAGATCGTAGGAAGAGGTCATCGTCCTATCCTCATAATTCTCACGAATTGCTAACCTCGTGCTACATCCGGTTCCCAAACCATTCTAACACGTGACGTGAACACAGGTACTTACTACAGTGAAAGAAGAACTGGGAAGCAGTACTCCAATGGAGTACATATACACTACAAATGTGTTTCTACGTACAGGTCAAAAACCAACATGCTTTCAGTGTTTGTAACTAAAAAGATTTCATGACTTACGAAAATAAGCCAATTAGCTTATTTTTGAGTAGGAAATGGACTTTATACAGACGTTCTTACATATTGTTCTAGAAGAACCGAGAAGTGGTTCATTCTGTTTCGTGATCTTAGATCGTGACTTTAGTGACATTATAAGATCGTAGGAAGAGGTCATCGTCCTATCCTCATAATTCTCACGAATTGCTAACCTCGTGCTACATCCGGTTCCCAAACCATTCTAACACGTGACGTGAACACAGGTACTTACTACAGTGAAAGAAGAACTGGGAAGCAGTACTCCAATGGAGTACATATACACTACAAATGTGTTTCTACGATTTTACATGGGACACTTCACTGGTATTATTGTTTATATTTTGCACAGACAATGCATAAAAATTAATCTCACTACACGTATCACATTGCATGAAGACTATATTTTTGTGTACTTGAGTGTACATAATATTAAAAAAAATGTTACACATAAACGTCTTAAATGGTACTGAAATACAAAGCTGTATATTTACGTCATGCACAAATTTATTGCACCATAAATAATTTTTAAGAAAAATTATAAGTTCAATTTAGCTTTGTTTAGGTAAGGTAAATTTGAGAGTCGAAAATAAAAGTCGACGATAATTTTTTTAATATAAATTGAAAACAACATATAACAGTAAACTGTACATTATTTTCCTAAACGACATTAAACAAATCATCTCTGTAACACAATCCTACAATTTTACTGTAAATAACCTACGCAGTTAAACAACTTTAAAACAACCATGAAATAAATAATAATATCACCAAGCATGATAGTGTAGCGGTAATTTTACAGACTTGCATTTCAGTGGATACTCAGTCTAAAGCTATTACCTGACCAAAAATCTTCATGGCGTCCATTATTATCTTGATGCGAATAATTTATAATCCTGAAGGCGATGATTTTCAACATTACTAATTATTTTTCCAACAATTCCCGACATTTTAGAACTTCTGTATTTGAAAAAGCGTTGTTAAATATCCAGAGAGTCAATAATAATCAATGAGTTCTACATCTACTTAGATTAAGGGTTTAAGGGCGTCACATGTTTCTGGAACAGCTCTAAGTACAACCCGAATCGCATTATGCGGTATGTAATTTTGAAGGAGATTTAAAAAATAATCATTTCCTTTCAACATAATGTAAGATTACGTTACGGTTGGAAGAATTCTCATACTTTGTTCACCTACTAACCAAATTCCGTTGATGTTAACACTGACAATAAAAACCCTTAAGACATTACGTTGCTCGTTCAGTTGCACCATCATTGTGAAGAAAAATTACTGCTGGAAGGAGATAGTCAGGTGTGAACCGTAGCTGACTATTTTAACAGTTGTTTGATACGATGATATATTATACAATGAGTGTCTTCCTACTTTGTGGATTAACAACATACGGCCGTGCTGATTTTGAAAGTCATATTCAAGAAAATAGTGGTCACAGATTCAAGCTACCGAGACACAGTTTCATAAATCGAATGCAAGAGAAGATTTCACATCGTAATGACACGGCAGATGTACGACTTCAGGATATCTTTAACGACACAGCTGCAGACACGGAAGAACTTCCGACATTTACCGTCTCCAGAGTTATCACCGAGTGCCTACCACAAATGTCCTTCTCGTGTCTACAAAAAAAATTTCTGCTGTTTCTAAAAAGCTTGGGTGCAATGGAAAAGGTTATACTCGTAGGAGATTCGGTTTCAATCGTGAGGACGAGTCGAGTGAAGTCGCTACTGACAGAAGACAGTGGCCTCCGAGAGCGAATGAACACTATTAAGGATCAGGAAGGAGTGTTAGGATACCTAGTGGATCAGAGTGCAGAGATATATCTCGATACTCACGCAATTAGGATCAAATTACCTTCATGGATACGGGCCGAGGTCGGAGGATCTGGAGAGACAACTGATTTGGATTTTGGGCTCGAGAATTCTGCTACTGAGGAAGGTAAGAGACTAATTGAAAATTCACAAGAAGACGAGTATGGAGTAGCTTCACAAATACAACTGTCTAACATGAAATTATGTAGACGGGCTAACTAAACTGTCTAACTTACGTACTAACGAAGTTAATAAAATATCGACATACTAATTGTAATGAACACGATTTCAGGAAATTTAAAGTGAGAAAAAATTTGTATTAAAATTGAAAAAATACGGTATTTTCGGTCTTTATACAGCAGACATTTATCATTTCCCTTGATTTTCGTAAAGTAATAACAGTTTATAAGCGATTTTCAGAAACTGAGTGGTTTATCATGTCGTTATCAGTATATTTAAACAAAAAATTGGATCTATTATTGGTATTTTAACAAATATCTGCCTTGACCGAAATGTAATCCAACTTGTAACACGGTCTTCTGACAATCATATACGCCATTGTATTCACGTTTTATCTCAGAAACTACTGAATGGATTTAGATGTAATCTGGTTCTGTGGATGATTTACGCGAAGCATACAAACATATATAATTCACATGAGTGAAACTACATCAAAATTTAAGGATATTCTAAGAAGAGATGTGAGATTTTAAACTTCTCCTGCAACTGAATGTAATGAAGTCTTCCTGCCGTTATAATATAAAGTTTCGGAGACTGTCTCAGCCTCCATTAACAGGGCTAATTTTAATGACATTCTCACACAGATAATCGCCCTGGAAGACTTCATTGCTTATTAACAAGCTGTTCATGCAAGAAATATATTTTCTCATTGTGCACTGATTACATTTCGCTTGGTTTACAAAATTTATTTTAAAATGTTTCCATGTTGTGTATGTACGTGTGTGTATTTATATTCTATTTTGCCAAATTGAAATGATTACAGGATCCGAGTAAAATTAATGGAGATTATCTGAACAGTGCACAAAGTGTAGTTACGAGAACATTTCAGGAATAAAAAGAGGGATTATCTGATAGACAAAATTAATGAACTTGCAAAACAGCAGGAACAAGAATATTAGGTACGTATTTTTTTATTTAGTGTTCTGTCTGAGGACAGGTCCATATGAACAGGATCCTTCCATCCTTCTCTCGGACTGGGACCTGTTCATATACGTTCTTGGCAGATGATCCACAAGTGGTTTGCCATTGCCTTCTTCTGTGTGTGAATGGAGTAATTGTTGGGATGCCACGGAGAAACCGGGGAAGCCCCCGGAGGAAAACTCCGTGTTGCCTAGACCACGGCCTTGCCCAACACAAGTTATAAATTCGGACACCGCCGGGAATCGAACCCGGGACCCCAGGATTACAAGGCCAGCGTTCTAACCGCTAGACCACCGTGGCGGTATACAAAAGTGTAAATAAATTTAAGGAGGGTTATCAACATGAAGTAACCTGGTAAAGGATGAGAATGGTCATCTGCTTGTAGATTCCCACAACATTTTGAACAGGTTAAATAATTACTTCTCTCAGCTATTGAATCGGTATAAGTGATCAAATTCCGGCAAAACTGATTCGAGCAGGAGGTGAAACATTACACTCTGAGATCCCTGAACTTATTAATTCTATTTGGAATAAGGAAGAATTGACTCAGCCGTGGAATAAATCTATTATTGTACCGATTTACAAAAAGGGCGATAAAATTCGAGGCATATCACTGTTGTCAACTTAATACAAATATTTTCCATCATCCTTCTCTCAAGGTTAAGTCTATACGAAGATGAAATTATTGGAAATCATCAGTGTGTTTCGACGGAATAGGTCAAATACTGGTTAGATTTTTGTATTCGTCAGATACTATAGAAAAAAATAAGAGTATAAATGAGACAGTACATCAGCTATTCATAGACTTCAAGAAAGCGTATGATTCTGTTAGAAGAGAAGTATTGCACAAAATTATCATTCAGTGTTTATATCCATGGAACTATTTAGGCTTATTAAAATGTGTTTCAATGAAACCTACAATAAAGACCGTACAGGTAAACATTTGTCTGACATGCTTCCTATTAAAAGTAATCTAAACCAAGGAATGCTTTAGAACCATTGCTTTTAAACTTTGCTTTAGAATACGCCAATAGTGGAACTGAAATTGAATGGTACATATCAGCTTCTGGTATATGTTGACGATGTAAATCTAATTAGGGATAACATAAATACCACAAAGAAAAACAATGAATCTCTAATTGATGCTACTGAAGAGTTTGTTCTAGAAGTAAACACAGAGAAAACTAAGTATTTGTTGATGTATCGTCACCAGAATGCGAGGCAGAATCGTGAAATAAAGACAAGCTAATGGATCCTTTGAAAATGTTGCAGAGTTCAGATATTATTGAGCTACAGTAACATATAAAAATTTTATTCGTGAGGAGATTTCGAAAACATTAAATTCGGGTAATGCCTACTAACATTCAGTTCAGAACCCTTCGTCTTTTTGACCGCTGTCTAAGAGCGCAAAGATTGTAATACACAAAACTATAACGTTGCCTGCAGACTTTTATAGGTGCGAAACTTGGTCTGTGACACAGATTAGAGGCATGTATACTCAGAGTGTTTGAGAAGAGGGTACTGAAGGGAGTATTTGGACCTCAGAGAGGTGAATTTCTAAGAGGCTGGAGAAAATTGCATAATGAGGTGCTTCACACTCCTCGCCAGATATAATTAGGCTGATGAAGCCAAGGAGGATGACATTGACAACACATGTGGGCAAACCAGAAGGAAAGAGACTACAAGACCATCTAGACGTAGGTGGAAGGATAATATTAAAATGAATCTTCAAGAAATATGATGGGGTTATATGGACTGGATTCATCTGGTACAGGATAGGAACGAGTGACGGGCTCTTGTGAACAAGGAAATTAACCTTAGGGTTCAATAACATTTTGGTAAAAGTAAAGTAAAGTTTGTCCCACTATACGCCATGTAGGCGCTTGGGGGGAGTGGAGGTATAGCTCCTCTCTTCCTTGACCTCGGCGCTAGATGGGGGGTGAGTGGTCAGAATCACGCCCCGGCCGGCTTTACCCCCGGGAAAGGACCCCGGTACCCATTGTAGAGGAGGCTGGGTGGGCCACAGAGCCGGTCTGGACGCAGAGGCTAGAGGAGAAATCCTCTGCCCCCGTCGGGGATCGAACCCCGGTCGTCCAGCCCGTAGCTAGTCACTATACTGACTGAGCTATCGTGGCTCATAATAACAGTTTGGTACCACTGTCAATTTTTTTTTAGTAATGTTGGGCTAGAAGCTTAATCCTACGTAGTACCATCTCATTCTTAGTTTCTTTTTAAATCTATTTCCTTTACATATTACATTTCATGACAGTAATTACCCTTCAATTACTTATTTTACATGTCAAAATCTTCTTCATGTGTAACTATAATTGAATGCATTTTTAACACCGATGTGCTTTATTTAATTCATTTATCTGTCACCGTATAGTCAAGTTTCCAAACTAATTTCTCTATTCTGTTTTAACAGGTCGTGGACAGAAGGACAGGGGTCACGGTGGTGGTCATGGCGGCGGCCACGGTGGTGGTCATGGGGGTGGCCATGGTGGTGGCAAGAAAGGAGACAAAGGTAGCAAGAAGATGATGATGGCCTTGAAGAAAATGATGAGCCTCATGATGATGGGAAAGATGGGGATGATGGTACCAATGATGCTTGGGTCCGCTAAGCTGATAGCATTCAAGGGGATGATGGCTGGAATGACGTCACTTATGATGTCAATTATCATAAAAATAATGGGGTTGATGGGAAATGGGGGTAATAAAATGAAAGGGGGTGGAGGACCTTATCCCCCGAGCGGTGTTCCTGCTGGGGCTGCAGGTTGTGGCGGTTGTGGTGGTGTTTCCAACACTTACGGCCCTCCTTCGGGGGGTGGATGTAATAGCGGTTGTGGAGGCGGCAGCATACCAACGTTAAGTAACAGTTACGGGGGCGGTGGATTTTCGGGAGGAATAGGTGACACTTATGGGGCTCCTAGTGAGAGTAGCGGAACAAGTGGAGGATTTGCAGGAAGAATCAGGGACTCTTATGGCTCCAATTCTGGAAGTGATGGAGTTTTAACTAACGGTTATGGCGCTACGGGCTGAATCAAGAGCAGTTTTTCTATCAACCACCAGGAAGCATTATTCGCTTTGTACGAAAACACTGACGAATTGTAGACAGGAAAAGTAATACAAAATTAATATTTGACGGAATTTTGTTCAGTAATTTTCTGACGGCTTATAAATCACTTGTAATTAAAATCCAAATACCTCCGGAGAGAAGTCATATGTTCCAATGAATATACTTAAATCCACGTGAACAGCCTTCAATAAGTAAGCTTTTAGGTTTTCACAGCGGTGATTGCTGTCTCCTTGGTTATTGCGTCGGACGTTTCAGAGAGGATTGTTGATTCCATTACCATCGCCCTGATAATTGAAGCAGCAAGTACCTCTGAAACGTTGGCAAACTTCTGTCTACGCAGAGTTACAACCCAGATGACAGTCACGTTCTCATTTTCAACACTTTATATGCAACTTCTTTTATACAACGTTTCTGATATAGATGTTTTATTGTTTCACCACAAAGGTGGCGTTGCTGTGCGCCAGTAAGAATATTCTAGTTAAAGATAACACACATTTTACTAGCATAAAGGTAATACTGTATTATATCTTAACTACCGTAACCAAAGCTACTCTAATCTCATATTCATCGCCCTGATGACGGAGGCAGCATGACCTCTGAAACGTTGGTTAACATCGACCAGACTACACAGCGCAAAAACCCAGAAGACAGAAATCTTCATACTCATCGCCCTGATGATGGAGGCAGTATGACCTCTGAAACGTTGGTTAACATCGACCAGATTACACAGCGTGACAACCCAGAACACAGCAATCTTCAGCATTTCAATAAGCTTTATGAATATTCTGCTTGTATATTCGCCGCGGAAGTGCATTAGTGGCGAGTAGTGGCGATTGGACAAATATGTCACATTTGTGCAGCTTAGAATTCGAGAAAACTTTTTTTTCAGTGCATAATGATGGCGAAGGTATTTAATTTTTTACATGTATGTTCAGAATTTAATAGTATGGTAACGGTTTAATTTAAAGAACTTCTCCGTATATTTATAAAATGATAGCCTATCAAAAATACTGGTTGAGTCCACGGTGATGCAGACTGCCTCTGCAACAAGCCTCTGCTTCCAACTTTCTTCCTGGGTGTGTGCTTTGTGTACTACAAATTCAAGACAATCACAAAAATGATACGCTAATCAAATATGAAATTTTTACGTTCTACCGACCAAGTTCTGAACGTTGGTGATATTTCTACGAATTACTGATCTGGGCATTTTAAAGTTTTTAACTGTGGGTTACAATAACAAACTCTGTAGAGCAGAAACCTTCTTCAAAAAATAAAAAATCCTAACTGGGTAACAAATTTCCTGTCTTTAATGAGATCCACAAGAGCCCACTGATTGTCCCTATCCAGAACCAATGAACCCAATCTACACCCTAAAAACCTATTTTTTTTAATATTATCCTCCAACCTACGCCTAGGTCGCTCATGTGATCTATTCCATTCGGATGTTCCACATACAATTTTGGATAGTATAATGATGATGATGAAGATAATACTAAATCTTTTTTCAACATCGCCAATAGGAATAATTCAACTTACATTGATATAAAATTTACAACGCTTAGAAGAAAAACTGCTTCCTGCCTTGAAAAAGTCTGTTCTACTGCATCACTGGCAAATTTTATCTTAAAAATAATATAATAGGTACACTTTATTATTGAGAGAGTTTCATCTACATTAAAAACCAACGTAATAACGATGAAATAAATATGACAACTATGATATTTCTTATCAGTATATTTTCAGACAAAATCCTTGTCTGTTTATGTGTTTCGACATTTTAACGTGTCTTAAGCGACACAGATACAGACGAAGACTTGTTACAACTTGTACAGTGTTTAAGTTTATAATTAAAAAATAAAATTATAACTTCAAGTTCGTGAACAGTAATTCTCGTAACAACATTAGCGACACGTGGCTGGTGTCACGCGAAGGTATCAGTACTCCTTGTATTCAACTGCTATAAAATGATTTGAATATCTCAGGCGAAAAGTAAGTGAAACAGTCACCAAAATTATTCATAGTAACATGTACAATTAGCAATAAATATTTTTAAAGTGTTCTGTATCGAAATTAAACACAATTAATTTATATTATTTCAGTGCTTTATGCGTTTAAAAGATGTACATAAATAAAAGATATATAGGCTACAATGATTTATTATGTATTTTGTAATTTCTTTCGTGTTTCTCTATAAAAACATTGTGCTGTCTGTAACAATATATCGAGCACAATATTCCGACTGTCTAGAGGTAAAAATAATCTCTTTACTGCGTAAAACTTTGATTTATAGTTAAAGTGAGAATGAGACAGCTGGCCACCTGCCCTGCCCGCCCGATGTCATGGACAATCGGATAATGGTTCTTTCATAGTCTCCAAATAATGTTCAGGACACATAAACATATGACGAAATTAGGAGAGTAAAGGCGTTGGAAATCTAACACGAGAACGGGCACTCAGAACAAAATATCGTCGTAATATACAATATATATATTTAATCGGTTATTTATATTAATTATAAAACCATAGTTGGGCTGTTTCTTATTACAGTTCATGTTCAATCTAAAGAAAAATGCATAAACATATGATAAAATATCTACGTCTACCTTCTGCAGTGTTTCTCAGTAATGTTATAACCGCAGCACAGTTTTTAAACTATCTTTAAATTATCTTATTTTAAATATATTGTGATTTGACGGAATAACCAAATAATTTAATTTTAATTCATTTCAACTGTTCCATTTAGGCGATCTTGTACTTTAGGTACGGTCCAACACAGCATTGATCGAGGCTATTAATTTTAAAAATGTCAATAGAATATATTCGTGCTCTCCGACTTACATTTATTGTGTCGCTCAATTACTAAAAATAACTTCGTCTCATAATAAAATCTTTTAAAATTATTTATGATTTAAATGTATTCAATTGTACTGACTCATTCAAACGGTGTGTCATTAGAGAAAAACCTGGCGCGACTATAATTTCATTAGTGAAATTTGATAGACGTTGGCTAAATTCAATTTTCCGGATAGATTCGTATGCACTTCTATTACGAAATTTCATCGACATATATTATATTTATATATATATATTTTTCCCCCCCCAGATGTGAAACAGAATGCTGTCAGACAGGACCTCTACACAAAGCATTTATTTTGTACACTTCATACGGTACAAGACGAGAGCGATGCTTTAAAAACCTTTTTATACGTTCTTCGCCACGAACACGTACATCTCTCCTGTGCTGCCGCCTAACGTCAGTACGTTTAACTATGGAATTAGTGAACTGTATAGTACCAGATACGTTTAGTAGATGGCAGCGCTTGTATGTACGTCAGAGCGCAATGCAAAAAGCCTCAAATCAGGCGTCATAATAATGAACAGGTTATACATAGAACATTGATGTTAACTGTGAAATTAACAAGAACTGGATGACAACTTATTGGCCAAATTTCAAAATTATTCTTTCTCTGTGTAAATACGTACGTGCGTCCAAGCACATGTGCCTGTGTGCGTGTTTGTGTGTATCTAAACGTGCGCGTAATATTACGAAAGCATTATCCCGACGTTGTAACATCAAAACGATTCTTAGGGAGATGATTGGATTTAACTGGTTTGGGGTACGAATCAGCGGCTGGGTTTTGTGAATGCGGTAATGAATCCTCGGGGTCGGGGAATTTCTCGGTTACAAATATTAGACAGACATATTGACAGATATGGAAATGAGAACGCGGTTTAAGATTCAAATCCTAGGAACAGACATCCATAAATCTAAGACATGGTTTAGAGGCCAAAATATTTTGGAAATAAATAAAGGGGAGATTGAAGAAAGAGAACGAGAGAAAGAAAGGAAGAAAAGAGTGTGTAATTAAAAAAGAGAAACACGAATTAAAGTGGAACGTCAAAATCGATACCTCGTATGTAATTTGTATCGAGAGTAACTTCCGGGTAGAAGTCAAAAAGCCTTCTATTAATACTTCCGCGATGTTTGGTGCAATATATGGACCAGCAATGCACTTCCAGCTCGTGAGAGCTTTATCGACTCGTTTGCAAGTCACGTAATCGAATCCAACTCGGGTAAATATATTTAATATTGCTTACTATTATAAATATGTAACAGAATTTTCTTATCGGTTAAAATATATAATAAAATTCAGGTCAATACACAAAACTTTATTTAGATGTTAAAATTTAAAATTTTAAATTTGCGCCATTCATCACTATAAGGATGTTACAATAGAGCGCTTTCATTTTCATTCACTTCACTATTGTAACATGCTTATAGTGATGAATGGCGCAAATTTAAAATTTTAAATTTTAACATCTAAATAAAGTTTTGTGTATTGACCTGAATTTTATTATATATTTTAATCAAAAAACACAAACATGACGCATGTAAACCTTAAATTTCTTATCGGTATTAAGATCTGTTACTGCCAATATTATTTTTTATAGGAAGAAGTTACACGCAGATTGTATATGCTAAATTCTTTGGACATAACCTCAAAGTTTTTCACCGTATCTATGTTCGACTTAAAAACAGTATTTCATTCCTCACTTGTACTTATGTTAAATATGTATCTGTTTTCAAAATTTCATATTCCTAGATAAAATAGATCAGTAAATAAAACAATGCGAAGTTTGACCTCGCTTAATAAAATCTAAAAGGCAGACTACAATCTATTTAAATATTCTTTGCCGCATATCCAGTCTTCTTTCATTTCTATCTGACTATCTTTTTCTTTTCTTTCTTTTCAAGTCCTCTTAACTTTCTTTCTTCCTTAAGAAGAGGAAAAGGGTTACGGAGTCTGTGTTCCCCAATTTAACTACTGAACCAGTAGACCAATCTATACGAAATTTTGTTTGAGCGTTTTGCTGTTGGAGACTACCCAGCCCCATAATTTTAATAGATTTATTCTACAATTAGTTTTAATAAAAAGCCGGACGCGCGAATATGTTAGGTGGT